TGAAGACAAAAATATATCACCAGAGTCAAAAAATAACACTGGATCGAGTCAAAAAAGTATCACTGGGAACAAAAAGATATCACTGGAGTGGAAAGATATCACTGGGAACAAAAAGATATCACTGGGAACAAAAAGATATCACTGGGAACAAAAAGATATCACTGGGAACAAAAAGATATCAATGGGAACAAAAGATATCACTGGGAACAAAAGATATCACTGGGAACAAAAAGATATCAATGGGAACAAAAAGATATCACTGGGAACAAAAAGATATCACTGGAGTCGAAAAGATATCACTGGAGACGAAAAGATATCACTGGAGTCGAAATATAATACTGAAGACAAAAATATATCACCAGAGTCAAAAAATAACACTGGATCGAGTCAAAAAAGTATCACTGGGAACAAAAAGATATCACTGGAGTGGAAAGATATCACTGGGAACAAAAAGATATCACTGGGAACAAAAAGATATCACTGGGAACAAAAAGATATCACTGGGAACAAAAAGATATCAATGGGAACAAAAAGATATCACTGGGGACGAAAAGATATCACTGGAGTGGAAAGATAACACTGGGAACAAAAGATATCACTGGGGACAAAATATATCACTGGGAACAAAAAGATATCACTGGGAACAAAAAGATATCACTGGGAACAAAAAGATATCACTGGGAACAAAAAGATATCACTGGGAACAAAAAGATATCACTGGAGTGGAAAGATATCACTGGGAACAAAAAGATATCACTGGGAACAAAAAGATATCACTGGGAACAAAAAGATATCAATGGGAACAAAAAGATATCACTGGGGACGAAAAGATATCACTGGAGTCGAAACATAACACTGGATCGAGTCAAAAAAGTATCACTGGAATCAAATGATATCACTGACGTCAAAAGATATTACTGGAGTCTATAGACATCATGGGAGTTTACAGATATTGCTGGAGTCCATAGATATCACTAGGGTAAGAAAAACAACAACATCTGCTTCGAAGATATCACTGGAGTCATAGATATTCTTGAGGTCAAAAGATAACAATGAGATCACAGATGTAACTAAGGTCAAAAAATATCACTAGCATCAAATGAATGAATAAATTCAATTCAATAGGAAGACTGGGTAAAAATGGTGTGTATGATTTCATCTGCCAGTCTGACTGTTATCCTATCTATTACCTGTGATTTGCATAAATTGAGCACCAATGCCTTCTTTTCATCAGTAGATAGAGTATATGTTGCAAGTTCTTCATATTTATTGGCAAACCACTCTCTTTCACTTTCTTCCTACATATAAATAATACATATACATATATATATAAATATAACGAATGATTTTGTTGTGTTTTCAGACCTGTTTATTATTTATTCAGTGAGGAACATGCATATGCACATACATTTGTACATCTAGCATATGGTTATGCTAAGACCAAAAAATTAATAATGTTTGATATGTAAATAATAAAAAATTAAAATCCATAATCAAATTTCTTTCAAGTCAGTTTATGCACAAATAGTAACAAGAAAGCCATCAGAGATCATCAGCCTAGGAAGTTGCGAGTACCTACTCGCAAATGCACCTAAAAAATACGTCTATGCGAGTACAAACTTGTAAGTATCCGCATTTAGCTTGTGGTTTTCAGAAACTGTCGTATTTTGCGAGTGAAAATTTAAGCCCTACACGCAGCTGAAACATGCCTTGCACAAGTCAGACGAGATACCGTGCACGACCTTTAGGCTTTGAATATTTTACGATGTACTCGGAAAGTCTAGTTTCAGGCGCATGACAAGTGTCATATTGCAATTGAGAGCATACTGGTCATAATAAAGAAATTGTAAATATGTTATTGGCAGTTGTTTTGTTCTAGTCAAAATACGGGCATACAGTTTTTTAAATGAATGCCGGTTTACACTGTCGGCAGCTCTTTGATTGTCAATTAAATAATTTTCATTGGCTAACGTGACAGCGTTTTTCAGTGTCAATTAAGTCGTGTTGTAAAGAACAATAATCAATGTCACACTGTCGAATTTTCGGCTCAAACAAGACATGGCGAATAAGCAGATTACTAATTACTTTCGGCCGGTTGAACAGAACAAAATTCCAACAACAAATTCCGGGACATCAGATCTTACATCCTCGCATCCAGCCACAAAACAGAAGATGAGGGTGATCTAATACTTATCAGCCTGGAAGGCCCTAGCATGGACGAATTTGATCCTTCAAGTTCTGTTCACAGGTGGATGCATGAATCAGTTCCGGCCAGACTACCAAATATGAAACTGATGGTAACATCGAACATGCAATCTCCGACCAGGATAAAACTCAGGACTTTTTGTAACAGAACATTATCTCTCATTTCAGTATGTCATTATTGTAGTTGTATTCGCAAAGATTAGCATAACACATTTTATTTGTTTTACGCATGAAACAATTTTGCTCATAAAATTTTAGGTTTAGGAGCATTTTGCTCTTTGCCAAAAAGTTAACTTCCTAGGCTGATCATAGTTTCACAAGAAGTGAGTAGAAGTGCTCCTGATACGACACTGTATGGATGAATGTTTGACAGATGAACAGACACTCTGACTGATAACCACTACATGTCCCGCCAGTATTTTATTCTTGATTTACACATAAAGTTAGAGCATGAATTACAAATTTAGATTATTTTTTGAACACCGCTAACTAAAAGGATACATTTAATAATTACTTTAAAAAGTTAGAGCGTGAATTAAAGGGATACTAATTTAAATCTTCCTTTGAACACTGTGAATCAATAGGTTTCATTAAATAATTAGATTTTTAAAATTAGGCCGCAAGTTTTTAATTATGAGACCTGCCAAAATATGACCTATTACCCAAAACATTACCCAGGGATGATGTTTCAGATATGGTACACACATGTCACCTACATATTCATCTTCACTTGCACTATGGTATTAAAACCCAATTGACATATAAATGCTAATGCCTTATACGAGCAGCAACTAGCTAGCCAGATACTGTAAAATACTCTATTTTCGCTTGGAATTTATTGAAATGATGGTAAGAAATGATTCAGTGAAAATAAATTCCATACAAAACACCCAAAAAGTGTTTTCTATCACAAAGCACCATGAAAAGTAGAACAATTGTGATATATATTGCTCAAATCACAACTCTTTTCTCTTATCTGACTAAATTAATTAAACAATTTTTAATTAAATATTTTCCATGAACCAAGAAAAATGTGATCTGCATTGCAGAATTTCCAAGTTGAAAACAGCTGGACACATGTACTACTGATGTACATACCGGTAACTGGATTTCATTCCAGCATGCACTTCAGTTTGATGTCTTTTTTTGGTGATCTTTGTTTTCAAGGATTAATCATAAGACAATATTACATTGGCAGTTCATCCAAAAAAGATTATGATATAAAAGTGCCCAACTGTTTTATGTTTAAGGTCAAAAATCCACCACATACTCACCGTCAAGTAGGAAAACTCAGCAGTGATTGTATTACAGTAGATATTTTCTAAATGTTCTAATATTTCCTTGGCTGAAGCTGTGTTTTTATTGATGTTCAAAATGCCTGAAAATAATTTTAAATCAAAGAAAGCTTAGAAAGAACTCCTGTGTGCTGAGAGTTTTCGAGACACATTAAAAATTAATTCAAAATTACTTATACTTGAGATATTGATGGAATAGCTGAAAACTAATTATGCAAATAAGGTAACTAATATGAACAGATTTAGGTGTAAAACTAATAAGGTCTGCACAATGTACCAAGTTTCATTGGAATGTGATTAGAACCAAAAAAATATTAATTATTATGCTAATTAGAGAATTAATATGAACAGATTTTAACCCAAAATTAATCAGGCTGTCTATTGTCCTAGAGCATTTATGTACCAAGTTTTATTCAAATGTGATGATCAATACTTGAGATATTAGTATTAATTAATTATGTTAATTAGGTGATTAAGAAGCATAAATATTTACCAAAAACTAATATGGTGCATACTATTAGGTTCATTGAAATGTGATGGGTACTCTTTAAAAGTTTCATTGAAATCCAATGAGTGGTTTTTAGACATCAGTGCAACAGCCATAGAACAGCAAAAAATTAACTAATTATGCAAATTAGGTAATTAATAGGCACAATTATTTTATCCCAAATTTAATCAGGTCTCTGCATAGTCCTAGAATATCTATGTCGCAAGTCTCATTGAAATGTGATGATTAGTACTTGAGATATCAGGTGAAAAGCTGAAAATTAACTAATTATGCTAATAAGATGATTAATATGCACAAATATTTACCCAAAAACTAATTAGGTCTCTGCACAGTCCTCAAGTAACTATGTACCAAGTTTCAATGAAACATGATCATTACTACTCGAA